GATTTGAATAATTTGAATAACATTTTACTTGTATTAACAAGATGAAGAACTGATCAAATTTTCATAAAGGCAGGTCTAGTGGTTTCGTAGATCTAGTAAAAAAAGTAAAAAAAATGCCATCTGGCGGTCAAAAATGATCATTAGACATATGCACATCAAATTATCAGATATTTTATAGAGATTTTAAAAATAAGTATAAATTTTGTTTACATTCCTATGGGTTCCGTACCAATGCTTATCCGTTAGACGGCGGCGCGGCGCTTACGCGCTTCTATATTTCATCTCTATGCAGTTAAAGCAGTACGATTGCTTTGAAAAAAAGTTTAGAATTTTCAAAATATTTCAAAATACACTTTTCTTCAAAGTAAATTTTTGTCAAAAATTTATAGTTTCTCAAAAATTTAATTTTTCAGAATATTTTTTTTTTTCAAAATTTTTGGTACGGAAAGTTCCAGCAATTTGCCTTAAGGCACGATGCCATGCGCCCCACTAGTTAACAATTATTATTAACAGGTGCCACTTTGAATAGTATCGAAACTCAAGCATATCGTGTTTCACTATTCACTACAAACGTCGTTTATAGACGACATCCACTTGGCGAAACCTGTGTGTACAACTGTAGCACATAGAAGACATTCAGTGTGGCAAATTTTGCTTCAATTCTCTGATAAATATTTTTATAGAATAAATTAATGAAAATTTTTATTTGTTATTGTGGTTTTTAGTTTTTTTAACCAGTAAAGTTGAGAATTTTAACTAGCCATCGCCTTGATTCTTACGACGTGGATATCGGAAAAAACGGCAAAGTTCAAAAATCCATGAAAAAGTTTTTTTCCGTTGTTATTTATTTTGATTGTGAGCACTGATGCTTAATTTATGGACCTTAATATAATTTTTATGTTCACGTTATTTAATTGTTTTATAGAATGTATTCTTGATTTTAAATTAGATTCAACAGTTTTTTATATAACCTCTATAAAAGCTAACACCTGGGTGGGGTAAAAAGGATCTACTGAACCTTTGCTCGGCCAAAGATGTAAAAAATAAAAAATAGCAAATAACAAAGTAAATTATGTTAAAAATAACAATTTTACAAAAATAAATCAAATTAATATTAATTCTAACTCTGCTGATGAATATTTCTGACGAAATACCATTTCAAGGTTATTTACAGTGTTGTCTCTGTAAAAATGCACTCACGGTTGAATAATGTAGCTATTATTTAAAAATTCTTTAAAAAATCTCTTTGTAAAAAGTAAAATCTCTTTAAAATTAAAGTAAGACATTGTACCTGTTTGCCCCTTTGCGTGCCCAATTTACTCTGTCTTTAAATTTTTTTTAAGACAGCAAAAACAGATTTCTTAGAAAAAAAGTACAATAATGGTCAGACAGTTGTCTGTTTGATATGTGTTATTCGTTATGATATAATTGGTTTGGTTTTCGCAATTGAATTGCTCAAAGTCAAATTAGGCCTTTGCGCCTCGACTTACTCTGATTTTTATTTTTAAATATCTTGTTATTGATAATAATTAGAAAATCTGAAAATATTTTGTGTAATAAATACTTGAACTGTTTATTAGTTAGAACACTTGTAGGAAACGTTTTCGCAGCGAAAGGGTTGATGCGCATCCAAGCTACGTACCAATATCAAAGTAGCCCTCGAAGTAAAACATCTTTTCACTGATAATTCGAATTTGGATATCAACATTAATTATTTTCATATTTATGCAGATAAAAGTAATATAAAAATGAATTTCTATTCAAAATAGTACGTACAATCGTACAACATGATCCTAAATATTAAATGGTAATTATTAATGTTAGAAGACTTGCCTTCTATTATATCATAGGTACAGTAATGAATGCGATACATTGATAAAGTCAATTGCCATTTGGTAGAATGCTTCTACTTCTGCATGTGTCTGTGAGGGATCAGTGAATTTTGAAAAGCAGGTATCAGTAAGGAATATATTAAAGTTTCTGCATCTCTGAGCATCATACGAAACCATCCCCTTAGCGTGTCTTTTATCAAAAGTTCGTTCGTTCGTTCATTACTCGCACCTTTATAACAAGGCGACTCTCGCTCCTAGGCAGTGTGTCAGTCTAATGAATTCAATATCACGCCTCACACAACGTTAGGGAAGCTAACATAAGAAGGGTTACTTGTCCTTTATCTCAAACTCCCGGACCACCTAAAGCCTCGCCACTCTATTTGCAGTTTTACACTGCGCAACTCATCTTGTCCACGCTCAACGCCGAAGATTTCAAAATATTTTAGGTAATTCTTGTTAACTTTCCATAGGGTAAGTTATATTAATCGCAAAAAAACGAAAATTAAAATGTTTATATATCTTTACGTTTTGAACTCTTCTGAACATATTGGTATACCTGGAAAAAATGGGTGTAAATGTGTGTGTTCGGATACAAATTTTCCTCGAGTTTTCGAGAATACAGTGCAGCCGATTTGAAAAATTCAAAAATATTCGGTTTGTATTGACCGGAATACTGATGAAGACTGTAGTGCTGATTAGTTTTTGGCAAAGGCAGGTTCAGCCGTTTAAAAGATACGAGGCAAAAAGTGCAAAAATGGGTTATTCAAATCAAAACACGTTTTACTTGTGCAGACAAAATAAAGAACTGTTTAAAATTTCCGGAAGGCAGGTCCAGCGGTTTTGGAGATCCAATAAAATAAAAGTAGAAACAAATGCCATTTTGCGATCGAAAATGATTATTATAATAAGTACGAATTTTGTTTGCATTTCTATGGGATCTATACCCATGTTTATCCGATAGACGACTGTCCGCTTCGATATTTGGTCACTAAAACAGCTACGCTAGCGCATTGCTTTGAAACAAAGTTCAAAATTTTCAAAAAAAAAATCTAAATATAAAAAAAACAACTTTTTACTAAAAAAAATCAAAATTCTCAAAAAAAAATTTCAGTTTTCAAAAAATTTTGAGTTTTTTTTTTAATTTCAATTTTCGGTACGGGAAGTTCCAACAATTTGCCTTGAGCCTTCAACTATTTGCTTTGTAAATAAAACAAAAAAAAATTATACAGTAATATTTTTGTTAATAACACTTGTTTCAAATTACAAAGAAATGGTTTGGCAGATCGTCGCACAAACGATAGTCCTCATTGAGATACATCAAATGGCTTTTAAATTTCTGAAATCGGTTTAGGCGTTTTTGAGAAAACGTCGTTCAAAGGCCTAATTTTGACAAATGCCAAAAAAACATTAGCAGTTTTTGCAAACTTTGACGAATTTTTAAAGTTAAACGAGTTGTCGTAGGGCCGTAATATTTTAGTATGATCTAGAAGACTATGGTATTACCCGTCAAAAAAATAAAAATTAAAATCGTCGAAAATAATTTTTTTAACACTTTATTACAAGAAAACGACCCGGCCGATCCTTGCCAAAAACTAATAATAAGCAGCACGATTCCCAACCAATGCGTTTCGAACGGTTTTTGATTTTCAAAATCGATTCAAAATTGCAGACTAAAACGTGGACGAAATTTTTTTCACTTTTCTGCTATTTACGAAGAAACGGCTAGACACAAAGTTGATATGTATGTGTGTGTGTGTATGTGTGTGTGTGTGCGTGTGTGTGTTCGGATACAAATTTTCGTTGACGATTTCGGGAACACGGATGAAGCGATTTGAATAATTCAAAAAACATTCGATTCGTATTGATAAGGAGACGTGCTGATTAGTTTTTAGCGAAGGCAGGTCTAGCCGTTCCGATGATATGAGGCAAAAAGTGACAAAAACAGTAACTCAGTTTTTAAGAGAACGTAGCGTCCGATTTGAATAATTCAAAAAACATTTTACTTGTATTAACAAGATAAAGAACTGATCAAGTTTTCACAAAGGCAGGTCTAGCGGTTTCGGAGATCTAGTAAAAAAAAGTATAAAAAAATGCCATCTGGCGCTCAAAAATGATCATTAGACATATGCACATCAAATTATCAGATATTTTATAGAGATTTTAACAATAAGTATAAATTTCGTTCACATTCCTATAGGTTCCATACCAATGTTTATCCATTAGACGACGACGCGGCGCTTACGCGCTTTATATTTCGTCTCTATGCAGTTAAAGCAGTACGATTGCTTTGAAAAATAGTTCGAAAATCCCAAAATATGTCAAAATAAAGAAAACATTTTTTTTTTTTTTAAAAAAATTTTAAAAAAGTAATTATTTGTCAAATTTACAGTTTCTCAAAAATCTAATTTTTTCGAAGTAAAATTTTTTCAAAAATATTTATCGTTTTTTAAAAAATAATAATTTTTGGTACGGGAAGTTCCAGCAATTTTCCTTAAGGCACGATGCTATGCGCCTCACTAATTTGTTGATTAATTTGCTTTATATAATAACACGAAGGTCACATATAATTTTATACTTTTCATAATTAAAATTTTGTAAAATGGTTAACATTTTAATTAAGAATACATTTTGATTAGGTATAGATTTAAAACATAGCATACATAACATATTAAAATGTAGGTTAACATACGATAATATTAAAGTAGCAAAGAGTATTAAATAATTAGTTCATAGAAAACGCCCTCGGAAATTAAGACGCGACACTGTGATGACAATGTTCTATCATGCGCGGGATGAATGCGCGTTAAAAGCTTCATATAACGGAATCATGTTCCTGTTCAAATTCAAATTGCATCGTCACATTTCATCACGATAATAAGATTAATATATGTTTACAAAATTGAACGCTTCATGATATTCATGTTACACTAATAACTATTAATGAACTATTAATAAGTTGCGAACGTCATGAACCAAACACACTTTCTGTTTATTGGGGCATGTAAATTATCTCTTTGCATTATAAAATCCAAGGTTTGTGATTGTAACATATAAATGAAACTACAGAATAGAGAATAATGACCAGAATATACCCATATTTAAAATTAATCCCTGTTTGCCACCCAAGCTTTCGATACTATACGCAGAGATGTTTTTCTTTTGCTTCAGGAATATCTCAACATTTCGGACATTTGTCAAGAGCCGATTGGCAAATATTAGGGGGCCACCCAAGATTACCTCATCCCCAAACGCAACATTTATCGAGTACTCATCATACTGTGTCAAATTATCATATGAATGGAGGTTTTGGACCTCCATACACAGCATCGCATCAAATGGTTCAGCCACAAGACGTCTTATTTAACAACACGATGACCGCACAAAAACGAAGTATGTAGAATTACAATATTTTTTAATCATATAAAAAAAGAATTTAAATTTTAAGGGTTTGTTCTATTGATTTATACGTTCTGTTGCTATATTTTTCATATTCACCCCTGTAATTGCAATGACATTTTTAGAATAGTGTTATTTTTAGATATTCTGTATTAAGTATATTGGCAATAAAATTTAAAGAAGAAATTGTATATGATTTCAGAATCTACGGGAAATTTCGATTCAATAAGCAGCAGCAATGCTCAAGCTCACAGTACAACCAGTCCGCTCACATCACCAAGCCCCGAAAAAATGTCGTTTCTCCTAACAACTATGCAGAATAATAATATTGACGAAAGCAATGTCAACAGTTTGAAGAGACCATCGGATAGCGAAAAGCCTAAAAAGCTTTCTAAAGACATAGTGACCGATACCAAAAGTAAATCTAAAGAGAAAACTGTACCAAGGACGCTATCTAATTCTTCTGGTATCGAACGTGACGCTGAAAGTCCTGATGCTGACCTGAGTCATTCAGGAGCATTCCACACATTTCGTTCAAGGGCTACCGGGTCGGGAGATATACAAGATTTTCACGGAGTTTTTCACAATGCTTTGGCCGCACAACTTTTGTTGGGTACGTAATAAATAAAGTGCAAAGTATAATATTAAATAGTAGCTAATAATGGTGTATGGAGATATCAGAAAAATAGTTATTTCTTCTTAATGTCTTTGAAGCTTTAAAAAAATGCATTCGAGAAGATTTTTTTAAATTCAGAAATACAGCTATTTGACCAATCCTCGTCTGTTTCCTTGCTTTTGCAAAAATTTAAACACATTTTTCTCAAAACTGTCTTTTTCAATACGATGTCCACGATTTCTCGAATTCTACTGGGCTGACTCACTTGAAATTTTCATAGAATTTTTTTTATAGACTTCTCTATGACATATACTAGTCTCATCCCCAAATTTTACCATTTTTTAAAAATTCGAGAAACTCATACAGTGGTAAGAAAATGTTCTTTTATTTTCAAACAGCCGACATTTTGTCAGAATTTTTTTTAACTTAAGGGGCACAACTAGTGTAACCGCCTAAAAAAAGGTGATTTTTGGGAATTTATATTAAAAAAACTACTTTATCAATCATTTCAAAATTTAGGAATATATTTATACATGTTTTAAGAATACATAGTAAAATTTTTGAAGAAAAAATCAAATATTTTTTAAGTTATAGTCGATCTCCAACGGCGCAACAAAAAAAAAAGGCCCTTCACTGCTGCAGTGATTCTGGCTTTCTACGTGGATGAAATAAAAAAAAAATCTCGTTAAACTAGATAATATTGTCTGTAAAATGAACTACGATAAAGAAAAAAAAACAAAAATTGACAAAATGACGGCGTTTTTTTTAAAAAAAAAGTCGAATTTTACCCAAAATTTTGGTCGTTTTTGGACTGCCAAAATTCGATTTTTGATCCGATCAAAAAATCTATAGTTCATTTTACGGAAAACTATATATAGAACATGTAAAAAAAAATCGATAATGATCGTACCATTTGTTTTTGAGTAATCGTTGCAGCGTTTAAAGATAAAATGATCGTTGGTTATACTATATACTAGATATATACTCATTAAATGGCTGTAACTCAAAAACTGTTTAAGATATCGATTTAAAATTTTGGTATGTTATTTTTAAAGGTATAACCTATATATGGAAAAATTGAAAATTCGATTTTTTGAAAATTTCACACTAGTTGTGCCCCTTAATCCTAGTATATGCCATAGCGATATCATTTTAGATTAATAATCTTATTTTTTTCATTTCGGATTATTAGGAGGGTTGCAATCGTGGACTCGGACTTATGCCAATTTTTTGTAAACCCTCAATTCAACAACTGCTGATTTTTTAAAATGTTAACATATTTTTTACTTTTTTTCTGTACTCTTGTATCGTTGTTAAATAAATTAAAAAAAAAATATAGTCAATTTATTGCCTTTTTTACCATGATGACCTAAATTGACCTAAATTCATGCTTCTACACTAGAATATTCCCTTAAAGCTATTCGAAGAAACTTTCCATTCTTTATATATATGTATAAAGTATGGTGAGCCAAAATTTTATATTTTGTCGATATTTTCTCAAAAAATATGTGCATAGATTATGTAAATTTAAAATTTTCAATTATTTGTATGTATGCATGTATATGAGAATTTTATCTTTTTTCGAAAATTTTATCTTTAGTCGATATTTTTTCAAATAACGGCTGTACCGATTTTACAAAATTTAAAGCCAAATAAATTCAATAAGAACTCGCATTGATTATTTTACTAGACGGTAAAAGAGTATATACGTACGTAAGTCATAACTTTTTGTTAACGATGATACGAACTTTCTGATAATTCCCCATAAAAACTTTCAGAAACAATTAACTGAGACCCGCCCAATTATGATCTATTTCACAGGAGGTCCCGCGGCGCACAACCAATGGCTATATTCGCAACTATATGCGCAGCACCAGCATTTGCACAGCCTGCATCAGCTGCAGCAGTACGAGCACCAGCAATGGCCGCCATGGTTGCAGTTACAATTTGCTCAACGACACCTTGCACTCAACCCACTCCCGGCACATCCATTATTAGTGCCACACGTTGACCAACCAAAGAGCTCGCCTCCAATGGAAAGCGAGGATGACATCAACAACCACAGCAAAAAGTGCAGAGACGACGACGTCACTTCTACTAGGAAATCTCCAACGCCGCCACCGGCTGGGGTCAATACCGATTCAGACACAAATGCTGATAAGAAAAATGGGGATGTTTGGAGACCGTATTGAAGCCAGGTGCTTTCATTTTTATAATTGTTCAAAAATGATATTTTTGAGTTTAATCTATATGTTATATGTAAATACGATATTGAGAATGGCATGAGAAACGTATTATTTTTTGTCATGCAATTCTTTTCATAATTAATTAATTAATGTTTTAAGTAGGTACATATACTTCGTTAAAAATATATAATCTGAAAATAATATTTAAAAGTAGCGTTTTTCAGATCATTGAGCTCAATTTGAAATCATTAATTATATACTAAACAATGTGATTTAAATTTAAGATATTACCGTAGTTTTTAGACTAGAAACTAATATAACGAAAAATATACTAAATTAAAATAATTAATATAATAATTATTCGAAGTAATTTGGTTAATCACTATAAATGTCTTAATTTGTAATAATAATCTTCCTAATTATCAACAATTGCAAAGATTATATGAAACTATGTGTAAAGATCAGCAAAGCTGATTAAATCTATTGACGCCAACAAACAATTTTGAACAATCACTTATTCCAAATTTTATTTGCACTTATGTATGATTTTCGAGCACTTTAAAAAATGTCTCTGTTTTCTTATAGAGAAAGTAGCAAAAATATTCTGGCAAGGTTTTTACTGAAAATGCTATTTGCAACGTGATGTAGGGGGAAGTCCCCGAGTGCCGGACACCTAAGGTTATTTATAAATAAATAAAAAAATATTTCACAAAATGTTTATAAAATTATGACTTATGTTAGATAACAAAGTTAGAAATCAAAATAAATTAACAAAACCGCAATCTTTGCTAAAAAATAATTAATACTATCAATCAAACTTTGGTATCAAAAAATATGATTTTATAAAGTGGCATCTAGTACCGGACATTTCAAAATAACCAGCATTGAACACATATGTAGCCATCTCCACACTCTGGAATGTCTCTACATTTGTGTTTGACGAATATTCTTAGATATTGCAAAAAAATTACTAATTATCCACCCTTTTGGCTGGGCCACACCGATGCTCTCAGCTGGAGCATTCATCATAAGATTTTCATTCTTTGACTAGAAAATACGAAGAATGGGGTGACCGTTAGCACTCATACAGAACAAAATTAAATAATTAGAACAAATTACGTCAATTCTCACAAGAAATATCAATATGTTTACTTCCAGCGCTAAGGGACGACTTAGTGTCTGGTGCTAAGGGACATACAATTTCGTTCATTTGGTGGTACCTACTAAAATTGTTTAAAATATCTAATAATATTCTACCATTTTACGGATAACAATCAAGCACTACTTTTATTTTTGAATGCTACTAAAATATAAATGTATAAATACACTAGAATTACTTCCATTGATATTTAAGTGACGCCGGGTTTTTGCGCCTAAAACAACAAAGAGTTGCTCCCGCCGTGGCCGTGTGCGTCACAGGTGAGTCTTGGCGCGTGATCTTGCACCTGTGTGCCCACCGCACTCCTTTCACTTGTATTTTGAAATAAAAAGATTTATACTCGCTTAAATAATACGCGTTAAATAGAGTGTCCGGCTTTAGGTGCCGTCCGGCGTTACGGGACTTGGCCCTACAAATAATTAGCTAACTCATATTTTCTGAGAAACTTAAAAGAGGAAATTTATATAATTCTTATTTTGAGTACTGTTTATAATATCGTTTTCTGGTTTGTTATCGAGTATGTAAATTCTTGATACCAATATCGATATTGTTAGCAATTCGCTAGATAAAAAACAATTGTAAGTGTTATTAGAATAGAATTCATATCAAATAGTTCCAGAAAATTATAGTCAAGTCTAGTATTTCAATGATATTTAAATTCGACAAACTGGATTAATAAATCTTCTCCAATATATAATATTACAAATATGTTAAAATCGTTTAAATATTGAAAAAAATATATAATTTAAAGCATCGAAAATTTATACAAAAACAAAGTTCTGCATGAGCCAAAAACAAATTCATAATATTTTATTTTAAAGTCGAAAAGAGCTATCTAAATGTTGATATAATTTTTCGCTTTGGTTATTTGTAAATTCTCTTATTAATGATAAATTGTTTCATTTGATTTATTGATCACAATTTTGTGATAAATTCAATAAATTCGACAAATTCCTATATTTACTTTGAAAAATTGTCGACAAACTTGAATTAAGATAAAAAAAATCTCAAATCATCCCTTGTATACGGGGTGTCTCAACTGCATATGTAATTATTCCAAATATTTACCTTGCCATTGCGCAGTATCACTAAATCATAATATGATATAATATATTCATATGTAAATCTAGTCATATATATTAAGTTCTACGTGCAGAAATTAGTACTAATCGGAAAATTAAAATAATGTTAGATGTAACCAGTAAGTAAAATTATAACAGAAATGTTATTGAAGTTTTCCTTTAAAGTAGATATAAATATGCGTAAATATTACATATATCACATAAACAACAATGTCAAATAAAATTAATAAGCTTGTTTTAATTATTGATTTGAAATTAATTAGTTTATTATCGTAGCAATTAAATTTGTAAAAATTCAATACTGTTGTATGTTAATATAATTTTAAAATTGTTAAAAGTTTCAACTATATATTGAAAATGTATGTTCATTTTAATGAAATAAAATGTGTTCCAATATTATATTTATCTTTTATTAATGAATGATAATCAAGTGCAAAATGTCACTGTAGTAAGCTATTAAGCTGCAAGAATTTCAGGGGTGTTACAATAAATTACAGAAGGCGGTTAATAAAAACGCGATAATTGGGATCTGTTGAATAAAATTAATATAAATGATGGTTAGGTAAATAACAAATTAA